TCTCTCTCTCTCTCTCTCTCTCTCTCTCTCTCTCTCTCTCTCGGCGTGTGGACGGCAACATTTTCCCCAAACGCATCGCATTGTGATAGACGTTCAACAATATCTCAAATGTTATCGGGGCGTTCTTTCTGGTCTGCTACAACCATAATGAGGGTGTGTGGTGTTCTGGGCTTTCGGGGCTTCCCTAAAGTGAGTACAGGGCGTATTCACATGCGCTGCCTGGCCACAAACTAAATCCGGTAGGCCGTCGCCAACTTTCTGGGGGCAGTTGGCCCAGTCCTTCAAAGCTAAGTCGTGATTCAGTTACAGTTGGCGTTCATGACAAGGCAGAGGGACTGGTGGTTTAGGGCCTTCATGGACTAATTTGGAGCTTGCATATTGACTGATTGAGTGTCAACACTGTCAAGTAGGTTGCTTAGGCTCTTCTTCGGTAGAGCTTTTCAGTACTAAGTTAAATCACCACACGGCTTGCTCTACAGTGGAACAAAACAATATTCAGGGCAGTCAGGCTCAAACCAAGCTTGTATCTACTGATAGACGTTCAACAATATCTCAAATATTATAGAAGGTTCTTACTCTATCTGGCGGAGCAATGAATGCAGTTCCCCAAAAAAAGTCGAAAGCAGCTGCCACAACATAAGAGGCATGCAGCTAATTTATCCTTATGCTGTCATAATGGTTCAGCCATAGGCACTTACGTCGAATAGCTACTAGACTATAACCTCATGGAGTGGATGACAGTGCAATGAACCTCGTAATTCCAATTCAAATCCAACATACAAGATGAGAGCATGCGCATGAAACTTGACACCACACCCGAGGGATGACACATGAATCAGCACCAAATGTATTTCCACTCAAAAGTATGATGCATTACAATTGAAGAGTTCAAGTATCCAGCGGCCTCAGCTGTGACTCAACGCTGCAATCCCAACACAGGTATGCGCTTAACTCGCCCTTCCCCGGTATCTGGCTTCTCTCTTGCTCGCTCAGGTTTGTATCGCACAACCTCGCCCTGCGGTCAAGCTCTCTCCCTCTCCCCCCTACTTCCTAGGATCTACCCTGAATGCAACTGGGATGGGTCACTTCCAACCTGGGCGGCGATGGCCCCCGTCTTCGTCCTCCCTACTATCCTAGCTATGGTTGGCTCTCGTTGCGAGGGCGCTTGCTTCCTTCCCGGGCGCTTGCCCTCTGTCCAGGTCGCACTATCGCACAAGCAACTAGCAGCGCTTCCGCAACTTTGCCAATGGACAGCCGAATTCGCTTGGCACTGTAGCAGCTAAATATAGTTGCAGTTGACTGTTTGTGCCTGCTTCGGACCGGTACCGGTCACCCGCGGCATCTGCCTTGCCAAACTTGGTGCTTCCGGAAGTCTCCGGACTTTCTTGGGGCGCTGCTGCAAATTTGGACTTTGGGAGTTGAACTCCCGCAGACCAGGTACCAGCGGACTTTTACCGGACCACGACGTCTCGGTACTACACTGCTACCGACCTACGGCACCTCAATCCTGCAGACCCTAGTACCTACCCTACCGGGACAGCTTGGGACCGGAACTTAGGACCAGGAAGTTTGGGACTCACTGCGTAAAATCCTTCCAGCAGAGAAAAACTACGGTTTTTCAAGACCTTGCCCAAGGTTATCCCTCGGTCAAGGAACTTGGTATTGGGAGATGGCTGGAACACACTCCTAGAAAGTCACCGCTGCTCAGTCCCTACGGATCAACCTGCTGACCCTAGAGTTGGTAAGCCGCCCCACACCGGTGCTCTACGGAGTCCTTCGGGTACGACGAGTCTGTTCGGCAGTGCTGCATATACGTGCAATCCGGTCAGCATTGCAGCCGAGATCAAAGATGAAGAGCGGGACACGACTCACATATTTTAATGATATGTATAGCGTGGAAGGTGCCAATGTGTCGGTGCGGCTAGCGTGGCAGCGGATAGTTAGGGTGAGGGGAGGGGATGAAATGAGAACACAAGGAGACATGAAGAAGAGGATTTGTGAAAACAGGTCGATTGCCTGAGCTGCACTCGATTGATGTCAACAGAAAGAACAGGGAAGCAGGAACCTGATTGCTTTCTGTCTCCTTTTCTGATTGGCAACCTTGCTGATTTCACGAACACAAAACGAGAAAAAAATAAGGAAGAAGGAACAAACAAAAATCAGATTGTTCCTACAAGTGGAGGCGGCCCACAAATAACTGATGTGGTTTTCGTGACTGTAAGGAGCAGCTCCCATGGCAGGTAATGTCTGGGCATTTATTCTTGAGGCTGAAGCTGTGAAATGGTGAGAGGCTGCTATAGACTCGGAACTCCCTATTCGAGGTTTTCCTTGTGGGTGGTATTCCGTGTTACGGGAATGGAGGGATGAAGACAGGCTCGTTTTGTCAGAAGGATTATCTTGTTGTGATTTTGGCCATATATGTTATGCAGTAGCATGGCTTCTGTGAATTAAGGAGAGAGACTCTCAAAGCAGGAAGTAGCTCGTCTGTTGGTGGATGGATGAGGTCATAGACCATTGCTGGGTCCAAATGTGTTTTTTTTTTTTTTTTTTTTTTTCCCACCGGCAAGGGTCCAAATGGTACCTCTGTTTTTTTTTTTTTTTTTTTTTTTTTTTTTTTTCAGGTGGAACACTGGAACTTCAATTGAAGTGACATTATTGTGTGTGCATTCCACTTAAACGCGTTTAACTGAAAAGAGAAATCTTGAAATCTCGTGTCATCCCAAAGTTTTGATGGAAGCCTTGTCTTGTGAATGGTCGTAATAGTATGGTCTTGCTCACCGGGTTCCATTTTTCATTTTGTCGCCATCCGTTTCTTTTCTGATGCTGGTCTCCGGTCTCTCTCTTTTTCATGACAAAAAGAGTGGAGTCTGTTTCATTAGGATTTCTTATGGTTGGTTGCCGGTTAAGGAAAGGTCTTTTCAGCGTCGTTGAGGTTGTGGTGCTTTCGATTTGCTGCTGATATTCTATCTGAATTCGGCATTTTTATTTCAGGCATGCTCAATAAGAAATGTGCATGGATTCTCTGAGGAGCACATTCTCGCTATGGCTGCTGCCTGGGAACCAACGCCTCTTCATCACTTGGTTCTTGATGTATCGGTAAGGAACTTTTCAATGTTTTTTTTGCGCTTTAGGCACATGTTCACTTCATTTCGTAATGCCACCTCCATGTTGCATGATGGGTGGAAACGGTAGGTGGCTCCTATGGGCTGCACATATGAACTGGCCTTCATAGTCTTTGTCTCTTTCTAGTCGTTCTTTCTTTCCTTAAACTACCAGTACCAGTACCTTTCCCCGCTTGAGAATCAAATACGCGCGGATATATTCGAAAGCCAAGCGAGATAGGGCCGCCGTTGAGAATTTCATCGGCGGCCCGTGTTCCTTTTCGGGCCTTTTTTTGTGCCTGCGGTTGATATCTGTGAAAGGTACTGGTGGTATAATGCTTTTTCAGTGTGGTTTCCTTCCGCTCTTACTATTTTATTTGTGTCTTCCTAAGTTCTGAATGATACTGTTGTTGTGGCAGAGCTACCCACATTTATGCATGTGAACTGGAGAAAGTTGTAAGAGTCGTTTCAAGTTTGGAAACATTCATGGTTTCACACTTCTGGAGTCTGTGGCAGTTCTTTGTTTATATTCCGGAGTCTGTGGCAGTTCTTTGGGTTTTTTTCTTTCTTTGAAAAATTTTGGACCATTTCTTGATTTATCCTTGAGCAGGGGCCATGCTGATCTTCTCTGTAATGTTAAAGTCAAAGTTGGCAAACCCACATGAAATGCCTTATCTGGGGTGCTTACACAGTAATGTTAAAGTCAAAGTTGGCAAACCCACATGAAATGCCTCGCCTTGACTTGAATGAAAGAAAGCCCAAACTAAAGCTACAGAAAACATAACTTTGGACCGTGGTTACACCGAACCAACCCGGACGTCCAGCCGGACCTCGGTCTGTCTGGACTGTTCTGGACCGTCTGGATTGAACCCCCCTCCCCCCAAAAAAAAGAAGAAGAAAAAGTTTCCCACTCCCTTGGATTTGGCTACGGATTTCGGGTGATCGGCAGCCAAAAATATTTTTTTTTATTGCAATGCTACATAACATATCGTTTTTTCAGATTTTCTTTATATATTTTTGAAGTCGCAATTTTTTTTTTTGGGGGGGTGGGGGTTGGATCCAGACGTCCAGACCGGACACGGACGTGCAGACCCGGAACGTCTGCACTGCGATACGGACATGCGGATCGTAATCATAACGTAGTTCCACTGCAACCACTGATGTATGCTGCACTTTCTATTTGATTATTGATTCTGTTAAACAGAAAATTATAGACAATGAATGTGGCTATAAAAATGAACTCGAATAGAATAATTGATAGAATATGAAGTTATGAACTTATGAATAGAATAAATCTGAATACTACAGTGAATAGTAAGTACTAAATTTATTAATAGTATATGATTCAATTATCTTTATTCCACGATTGATAAAGATAATAAAGAAACAGAAATCTGTTTGCCGCTTCGTTTGTCTGTTTTTTTTTTTCCCCCTTTTCTGAAAGGTATTGTGTTTGCTGCTGTGTTTATCCGAAAAAGTTTCCTTTGTCAGCACTCCTACTGACCCCGGCTATTGTTCTCATAAGGTACCACCATGTGAAAGCAGGGTGGTGAGGTGAGAAGGGAAGAGACCATAATGTGCCCGAAGGTTCTCCTGATGGGAAAACGTTTGTGGCAAGATGGACTTGAGCCTCACTACTGTCAATCCGTTTCAGCAATTGAACACGAGGAGAGCACAGATTTCTTTTGCATCCTGCTGTGGAGGTGAAAAGCATAAAGGAGGTTTTTATCGACTGCTTACGTGTGTTACCACCGGGGGCACCCGGTTTGCCTTGGTCTCCGGGGCAGCCCGGCCAGGGAAGGTCCCTCTACAAAAAAAAAAAAAAAAGTGTTTATTGTTTGGATCCGAAAGTAAACGATGTTGTGCAGAAAAAATAAACTGACAAACGTTTGACGCAGGCTCATGTCGAAATTCTTTGCCAAATAAAAATAAATAAGTCATTGTTTTTAACTTTTTATTATTATTTCTTTTTTTTATTCATTTTTGCCCCGCCCGGGCAAGTGGTCCCGGCCCACTCTGGTAAACGTTGTTTCTTACAGAACTGCACGTCGTCGAAGCTACAGTTTCTTTTGTTTGTGACATGGAGCTCCGTGAGGAAGCGCAGGAGGACTTTTTTGAAGATTTTTCCTGTGTTTTTTTTGGTGACTTCTTTGTATAATTTTGAGGAACCGTATTAAACCGATCCGAACGGATACTACACTTCATCTTACATATCCAAAACGCCGCGAACTTGAGCTAAGAGACTAAGACAAAATAGGTTAAGAAACCTCAAGTCCTGGTTGAGTACAACAGACATTCCAAGTACACCCGTTGCTATTCCTAGGAACGGATGCACCTTGCCAATCGTTACGGATACATCCCCAGAATGCGGTCAGATGCACCCGTTGCCGTGATCTCCACCATCATCCCAAGATACCAGGTGAAGACTGGATCCATTTTACGGGATCCAATACACTTGTGCATGGTAGGTTCTTTCGAATATCTTGGCAGCCGTACTCAAGTTGCACTTCAAACCAGGCTGCAGTGAACTATGCCCGTGCTCGACTACCACCTGTCGGAAATCAACAAGCAAACAAGTATATTTCAAAGTGCTTTCTGTACCACTATGCCTTTGGTTCTTTTCTTTTTTTTTTTGTTTCTTTTCAGAATCATCTTTTTCTTTTCAGCTGAAGGCATCTGGGTGCGAACTTGAGCCTTTACTTCAACAGTTCACGGGTGTACCAACTGAGCTAGGCCCGTTGGTACCACTAAGCTTTTGTTATGCCGATCTGGATAACAATATATGGTGCTATCATAGGTCCCTGGGACTCTTTTGCCAGAGATGATGGGGGACACTTATTAGCAGTTCAATATATCAACTATAGGAAGGCGAAACCATTGTTCAATCCTGGGTCTTCCCCTGAAGGGCCTGAACACAGCGCACCCTCATCATGACTGCATCGGACCAGGGTGTGTTGTTGGTTGGTTGGAAGGCTGCAGTCAGGAAACTTCATAGTCCTCGCATAGTGCCGGGACAGTAGCTGCATGTCCACTCATTTTATGCCACTGCAAAGTTCGCTCCTGACTGAAAGACCAGGAGAAGAAGCCATCAGTATGTGTTTATGCAGTATCGAACTGTGCAGTCAATGGTGTGGTTCTCATCAGGAAATTGCACAGCTATACGATTGGCAACTTGAGGGTGTTGGTGCGGTTTCGTAACTCCCTTACATAGAAGACAACCTCCACTTTGTTGGTGGGACGTTTCTAGTATGGCCATCACTGGACTCTCTCTCTCTCTCTCTCTCTCTCTCTCTCTCTCTCTCTCTCTCTCTCTCTCTCTCTCTCTCTCTCTCTCTCTCTCTCTCTCGCCCCCCTCCTCCTCCCTCTTCTCCTGTGGGACAGCATTTGAGACAAGTACCTGGCTTTTGCTGAGATCGGAGATAAGTATGGTACATCCTGGCGGGTAATGCCATAGGGGAGGCAGGAAAGTGGCCCGTGATTAGGTGCATTGTGGAATCGATTCCACCCTTGGTGATATTCTCGGCTGACGAATTGTGTGTGTTGTAATGATGTAATAATAAGCTTGGCTGTCTTTGATGCAGTCACTCTTCCGAGGAGACGATCTTGGGGACAATGGAATAACGGAGGTGCGTATTGACAGCCCTGATGCTTTCTTGCTTCTTAAGCTTATGCTAGGTAATGTTGAACCTACACATCTCCTTTGGAGAAAGGGACCAAATTTGAGAAAGTATGCAATAACATGCAGCTGCAGCAAGAATGTGAAACACACTCTGTACAAGCTTATAACAAGTTGTTAGTGTGAAAAGATTTGTTACAAACCTTTGTTGCCTACCGTCTTTCCCCGAACATAACGCATATGCATTGTATTCGTGTTTTCGTCAAAAGAAAATTGATGATATATCCGAATAGAAAGCAACCTATGCGTTGTATTCATTTACATGTATGCGTTCTGTGTGGGGGAAAACAGTAGTTTATTTGGGCGGGTGAAGGTAACTCCTAGGACATTCGAGCAGTAGGGGCGACTTCTAGATTCTGGTAGGTGGCAGGGCCGCACTGGTGCTATGTTTGTGCGCTTAAAAGGCATGAACCTAGTGTACGAGCTTTCTTGGAATGAACATAACATCGATGGGGCATGACCCTGACTTTCACCTACAAGGCTGTGGCAATGCTTGCTTGTTTAGGAAGTAGGAAGTACATATTGTAGCACGGGAAGTCTCGCCTGGTACTTAGGATTAGCAGCAATGAGTAGGTCATTGCCCAATTCTGGAGTTTTCGTTTTCAACCTTCAAAAAATACTGATGTGAAACTGAATGAATTAGATGGAGATCAGATTGCTGTATGCAAAATCAGCTCCTAGCCTTCTTTTTTTGGTTAATCTTTGACAGTGCTACCGTCCTCACCCGAACAGAATACCCAGTCATTATCGCTGCATCTGGACTGAAAGTTTGCCCAAGTACAGGGATAATGACCGGGCGTTCTATTTGGGTGAAGACGGTAGCGCAGAAGTGCACTACTATCAGTGGTGGTGCTTTTCACCTCCACAGCAGGATGCAAAAGAAGGGTGCACTGCTTTTGTGTGTGGACTAAGATTTTCCTTTTGTCGCAAGAAGTGAACTGTTCTAAGGATGATAATGACTGCTCTCTGTCCGGGAGTGAATCGCTCAAGCATCGGTCTCAGTCAGAGGACAGCGGTGCTGAATGATGCTCGTCAGGCAATCTGCTTCTGACTCGAACATCTTCCTGGCCTCTGTTCACCAGCAAACAGGTGTTTGCGATCCTCTGCTCACAGAAGCTCAGGATTGCCGAGGATTGGAGAGCCAGGCTTTCTGTGAATCATGACTGCAAAGTGGCAGTCACCTTTGGATTCTGTGAACTGTGAATGACCAACCGGTAGCTGTTGGATATGCAACTATATTTTGTCAAGGGGACACGTTTGGCCGTGTTTTGTTATAGCCCGGCCAGATCTATCTAATCCTGTTTGCTCCCCATGCTTTCGCACCACCATACCTCCTGGGGAAAACAGAATTTGAACCCGTGACTTCTGGCGTGACAGACCAGCGCTCTAACCAACTAAGCTATTTTCCCATCTTGGTAATAACAGACCTGAACCGCTGGCTCTCTTGGTGTACACGAGGCACTCTACCAACTATGCCAATTACCCAAATGTGTTATTCCCAACTTATTCCCAGCCTAAAGTGCCCTTGTTCGGTGATAGATGCTGTCACTGCCATGATCGACCTGGAACATCTAATTTTCCAACCAATTCTCCAACCCTGTAGAACTGTGTAGAATGTGCATTCTGATCGTTGCA